CTCACTGCATTTGAATTCTCCTGATGCTAGTAGGATTTTACCCAGCATAGGATCTACAGGAAACTCTGCCAATTGAGCTCCCAGCGGCAGTGTGAGTCGGCCCACATCATCCAATGCCTTTAGAGAATAGAGAAGCTCAAGCGCACGGATCATGAGTTCAGCAGGTGGTGGGGTAAGAAAGTTAAACCGAAGCACATTATCAATTCCCAATGCCTTGAGCTGGAGAATGACAGGTGCCAAGTTGGATCTATAGAAACAAATGCACAGAGACAGCCTGAGCTCAATGCCTCCCTATCCACCCGTTCTCCACCCGTTCTCCATCATGGCCTTGCATTACCTTTGTATCTCTGGAATACTTGTGTCTCTTAATCCGTTGTAGGTGGATTGGGTGTAGAGGCGGTAGGTCTTGCCAGGCTTCACACGGCCTGAACGACCTGCACGCTGAAGAGCAGAGGCCTTGGAAACAGGCGTTACTGTGAGTGCCTCCATACCTGTCTTTGGATTGTAGGCACGCACTTTCACAAACCCACAGTCAATGACATAGACAATATCAGGAAGTGTCACAGAAGCCTCTGCTATGTTGGTGGAGACAATGACTTTGCGTGTACGCTGGGGAGTGACTTGGAATACTTGGAGTTGCTCATCCGATGTGAGGCCTGCATACAAGGGAAGAGGCATCAGAGCCATGGCCTTGGAAGGCAGTCTTATGCAGAGAGGATGAGTCCAAGCAATAAGAGTTCTGTGGGCTACCTACGTCTTTCCACGCTCATACAGCTCAGCAACAATCGTATCCACCTCATCTCTTCCTGTCATAAACACCAGTATGTCTCCAGAGGGTTCCTAATGTCTCTATGTCAACCACAGCTCTACATCCATGAAACAGTCGAATCTACCTTGACATGAATATCGAATACAGTCTGAATAGCGTGCTCTACATAGTCAGAAACAGGCTCCTTGGTGTACATTATATCCACTGGAAACATACGTCCTTGGAGGGAAATGATTCCTGCATTCTCCTTTTCTGACTTGTGATGGAAGAACCGATAGAATGCCTCTGCATCCAGGGTAGCTGAAGAGATAATCACTCGTAAATCAGATCTCTTCTTTTGTATTCTTACAGAGGGCAGTATGAATGCATAGATGAGTGCTCTGTATTAAAGAACAGCCTCTTTCTTTCTTCATCGACTTACTTTTTAATAACACCAAGGAGAATATCTGTATAGAGACTTCTTTCATGGGCCTCATCAATCATAATCACACTGTACTTGGTGAGGAGTGGATCAATCATTGTTTCACGAAAGAGCATGCCATCTGTCATGTATTTGATGCGTGTTTGTGGAGTCGTTTGGTCATCAAAACGGATCAAGTACCCCACCTCACCACCCAATCGACAATTCCTTTCTTCAGCTACACGTTGCGCAACAGATGTGGCAGCAATACGGCGTGGCTAATAAGAGAATAAGTAATATATTCTTTCTGTCCATGGATTACCTGTGTGCAAGCCACTTGTTTTCCTCCTGCTGTCCATCCTGATTCATCCAAATACTGGGGAATTTCTATGCATATAAGTAAGTAAGAGAATGACAAAGAAAAGAGTGCCTTACGTGTTGTTTTTCCAGATCCGGTCTGTCCAACGACAATCACTGTCTGTAGTGTCTCCACCATATACAATAGCTCCCTCCCTGTATTGGATTTAATGAGAGTGTCCGTAAAGAGATAGCCTACGTAGATTGAAGACAGGTAGACGCTCTCGTTGCTGTTGTAAGGTCATGTGGCGGAATTGACTCTCTGCATGAGCAATAACGGTGGCATTGGTCTCATTCTCAGTGTCTCTGTCAACAGCACTTCCTATGACAAGGTTTAATAAGGCATTAAATAGGGTAAAATGTTTACCAGGTGCTACTGTTCCGGGTTTCCAAAAGGACATTGTGCTTTACAGTAGAGTAGGTGCGTTTAGGGTGTGGACGCTTATAGCTGGACCTACTTTTTGTCCGATCCACACCTCTCTCCTTCCTTCCTTGTTTTTTTTAGACACCGCAGCCCAGTTGTCCGGTGTGGCTTGCTATAGATTAAGGCTTTCCTCTTCCTCTTCTTTTTTTGTTTTGTTTTTTACAGACGAAAGAGTGTCATACATCTACAGAACCATTGTAGGGTCAGCTAATAGATCACATGTATAGTAGAGACTAGGGTAGGTATGGAAGGGGTATTCTGTTTAAAGTTGAGTAATTTAAAGAGAAAGAGAAAAAGAAAGATCAACACAATTTTATTCTACTCAATAATAGAATTTTTGTTTTTTGTTTAATGTCCCTTTAAAAAGGTCAATGGCTCTTTTGGTTTGATATCTGTGTAGTCTTCAAAATCAATATCAATGACTCCTACTGTTGGGAGATATGACATAGTACTCTATACATCTATGAGTAGGGTAAACGTGTATATTCCAATAACTAATTCCATGTATACATCAGTAATGATAGATAGATAAAGAAAGACAGTTTACATAAATAGATAGAAGAATGCTTATAATGACAAATGATAAGTCTCTATCCAACAACAACAATAACAATAACAACACTCTTTATTATAAATAGCTTAATAGCCACAACCACTTTTATAAACAAAACAAAACCTAAAAGTCAAGGTTATTTCAAAGAAATAAGGAAGATTAGTTCTTATCTGATCAGTCTTATAGATATCTATAGATATCTATCATTGCTGCTATTGTTAATGTTCATTAGAATGTGGATACATGACTAGTAGTCTACTTTATTATAACATACACTTTTTTCTCTCCAAGCTGATAAAGACTATAGGAACACTGTGTTTTATAATGACGTTAGACATATTTCTTAACGTATATACTATCAAAAGCACCTATACATCTGATTTTATACCTGTGGACATAGGTATTAGAGTAGGCCTGTATAGACTTGAAATGAAAACACAAGTGACAGTCTAACATACAATTCTTGGTACAGCTTAGAGATGAATAAAGAGCAGTGCTTGAACGTTTCTTTCTTATAAATGCACTGATAAATCCATTTTAAAGAATCTTATAATGTAGGATGTATTGTATTTACTATTGGTACAACTCTACTTGTTGAATAGTATTTTCATGTTGTAAAGATATTTGCTAAATTCACAGTTACTCTCAATAGGTCCTAAAATGGTAGAGATTTGTAATACTAATTCTGGTTTAAAAACGATTTGTGTTGTATAGAAGTTAGAAAATGCAATATATTTACAGAATATTCTATAATAAGAACTGAGTGACACACAATTTGTACCTCTTGACAAAGTCAATATATCTTGATTTTTGTCTTTTTGTCTTGAAAGTAAAAGGTATTTCATTCTATCCTATTATATAAATTGTCCAAATAAGTGAAAAGAACATCTTCAACATTTTTGTCTATAATGAACTTCATGGATTATATCCTAATGATGAAGATATGTCATTTATTTACTTGTAATTAGTATGTTGGTCATTTTTGGACTTTTTTATGATTCTTAAAATCATCCAAAGCCTGGCTAGCTCTTTAAATATTATTTCTTATTATGGTTAATAATACAAGTGCTTTATAAAGCTTACTGCTACCCAGAGACAAAGAAGAAGATACAGAAAGCTCTACAGGACAAAGAAAAAACAAAAAAGATAGACAAAGAAAAAGAAACTAAGATTACTTGGCCTCTTGACTGTTTCTGCTCTCCACTCTGCAGCTGCTCTAAACATTGTGGCAGTGAGAGGGGGTGTAAGGAATCACTAGGAACAGGTAGGGAGAAGGTACTAGGTGTTGTGTGAATAAGACAAGATATGGCAGATAATATATGCTGATATCAGATATCAGAATGGAGATTTATTTAAGACAATTGGATAAGTATTTATATGAATGTTTCTATGGTACTATCCAATTACTAAGTGAAATATGCTATATGAGTAATAAAGGAGTGTATGATCAGTGACATGGAAGTGATGCAAATAAAGGAATGGTATTTGTAATTATTCAGACAAGTAGAAAATAACAAGACTGAGATTGTTCAGACAGGTAGATTAATGAGACTGAACAAAGATAATTTTTATTGAGTAAAGAAAGGTTCACTATTTATACTTTTGGTGGGTGCTTATCCTTCAGTGGCATTCTACCTTTTGGTAGTTAATGATTAGTCCATGGCATAGCTTATTGATAGATGCAACCATATGGTTGGTGTAGATGATTTATCCTATGGTAGTTTACATAGGTGTAGCCTTATGGTTGGTTCATTGAATAAGCACACCATTCTAGAGCCATCTATTATGTCTTCACTTTTAATTTCCTTTGATAGGTCTGATTTAATCCACTAAGGATTTATAGATGAAGGCAGCTCATTAAGTGTCTAATAGTAGATTGAGCTTAGAAGGTTGATTTGTAGTTATAACCAATCAGTGAGATGATACAGAGATGTACTATGTTACTTGTGTGCACTCAAGCTTTCATAGAGTATTCTGAATGTCACAGCATACTACTCATATTGACCTATTCATAGAGAATATTTGGATTGAAGTTGGAACATGACAACCCTGTTATCCTCAGTTTCCTCTTATTGCTGTCTCTACTTTTGGGCTTGGTATTATCCTGTTGAAATTGGTAACTGTAAAAAATGTTGCCACTATACTAAATGCTATGATTCCATTGGCCAGCACACTTTTTCTTATTGGACTCACATGGATTACTTCTTTTGGGTTTATTAAATAATTGAACAAACAGTATGTCTTGGATGAAGTCACACTCACCCTGAGTAGACTGAAGACAAGAGGTACTTAGTCAATTGTATCATATGTAGATTAGTACAAATAAGCAACTATTTTGAATGAATAAAAAGCATCTTCTATCCTCTCTTTACCTATTCTTCTTTGATCTACATGGGCTTCAGTCCATGACCTTGTTATCCTCAGTTTCCTCTTATTGCTGTCTCTTTCGGGCTTAGTATTATCCTCTGGAAATTGGTAACCAACAAAAACATGAATCGCCCGTTTAGCTCAGTTGGTTAGAGCGTGGTGCTAATAACGCCAAGGTCACAGGTTCGACCCCTGTAATGGGCAACGCATTCTTAACCAAGCATCAAGCTTGGTTAATTGCTTTTTTTGATTATTTTATAAGAATATTAAATTGATCATGACATTGACTTTTTTTGTTGTTGTTATTGTTAGGCATTTTATTTATAGTTATAACTTGGGAGGTTTCTCCTAAGGTCCTAAGATAAGTAATAATGGTCTAACTACACGATATATCTATCTATTCTCTTTATCAATTTAAGTTATTGTATTTCAGGAAAAGTTCTATCTCTAAAAAAAAAAATCAATTTTTGAATAGATGAAGTTCATTCAACTGAAGAGGTAATTCTTGTTAATCTAATGAAACTGTCCCATAGATACAATTCAGTTATAATGGTGGCGGTTATTATTCTAAAATACCATCCTATAAAACTTCAAAACTACTTATATGGATATTTTTATAGCTAATATATACTAATATAATATTACAAAGAATTAGTTAGATGAATCAGTCGTATGATCCTATGAGCTACATACTTCTTTTTCCTACAGGATAGTTAGGTTGGAATATAAATACATACTTAGTCAATAACCAAAATGTCAAGATAAGCACAATGAAATACTACTGCTTCAGATTGATGTACAGAAATCATTCCAATCATTTGCATTTATTTGGAAAGTCCTTTTATCATTATAGAGTATAGGCTAACATTGAGCAAGGCTGCCTGAATTATATAGAGCATAACCTTATTAATGTATGATAAATAATAACTGATACTATTCAATTCTATTAAAAAAAACTATTAAAAACTATTAGACTGTTTATTCCTTCTTTGTTATTGTATTTTCTATCTATTTTCTATGAACCAAGAAAAGGTTCAAGCCTTCTGATTCATCTTTCTCCTCCCCAATGATTATTGGAGCCTTGATTGACTAACTGATATAAACCCATGCTGCAGATAAACTACCTAAAGAATAATAAAGTGTATCTTATTGGACTTTGTCATGAAAAAGATATTGTTCAGAAGGCAGAGGCAAAGGGTGTGCTTGGCAAAATAGAAAGTTTATTCTTCAATTTGTAAATGCTTACTTCTATGCTTACTTCTATACTTTTCTATCCTCACGTTATCTATCTATTTTCTCATGGCTATTCAGGAGCATGTATAGCCATCCTGTTTTTCTAGTCTGTATATTATGTATGCTGGGGTGTGGTAGGTAGTTTATGCTTCAGGGGAAGCACCACTATATTTCCAACATTATAATATCTAGTATTAATTACTCAATAGTATTTTCTTCCAAAATGTATTTGTAATAGTATTCTATTAAAAGTGTTCAAAACCCCAATAAACAAGAGGTGTGTTAAGTAGACAAAAGCTATGTTTCTCAAAACCTCATTCTATGATTTTGAAGACTACTTATATATGTGTTTATTTACATATTTATACACCTTCTAAGGCATAGATGTTTCAAGACTAATTATTCTAAAGCACTTTCTTCTAAAATACAAAGGCAATGGTCTGCCCTTAATGAATTCCAAGGGACAAAGTATTCCCTTATCTGTAACAATAGAACTAAAGGGATAGAGTAACTCCACATCCACAAATAACCCGTATCATATACTGTATATTTGAGTAATCTAATTATGGCTTTTGTTCTTGAGAGGGCAGTTCTGGAATAGTTATTTATCAAAAGGGTTCCTGTGTTGTAGGCAGAGTTAGACGCAGTCTATTTCAAAAGCCATTGAAGGTGACAGGTGAACAAAGACAGTTTGATATTTGTGAATGGCTTTTTTTCAAGTCACATTATCATCATTTATTATTTTCTCAACGCATGGCTTCCAAACTATTTACATCCCATATTGGATATATTTAATAACCACGAGTGGTTTGGTTGGTCTATTCTGACAGCAACAACGACTAAAGTTTATATTGTCATTCAAGGCTTACGATTGAATAAATAGCCTTATTATTTAATAGTGTCCCTCAAAAGAACAGTTCTCATTCATTAACCCACAGACATTGGCTTTCAATGTCAAGTATAAAAAGCGATATATTATCTTCTGTGAAAAACACACATGAGTTCCATGCATTAAAGTCTGTGCTAAAGAAATTCAGCAAGCAAACCTACGAGTCTTCTAGCTTAGAAGATCATATGGGCTATGAGTTGCTGTAAGTTGGACCTTTGTCAGGACTACCAACATTATAGCTAATGCTCTGGTATTTTCTGTATTATCCTTTTCCCATAGAAATCTACTTCTTTGTCATCAAAAACTGCATCCTAAAGCAGATTCATATGAGAACACAGGCAAACGCCTATCTGTTGATAAAAGCCACGGTAATCCTAAATATTTGTGTTAAAATAGAGCCAATAGAGGCTACTTTATTATTGAGTAATACATATTTAAACTATGAAATTTTATCAGAAGACGAACATTATCGAAACACGATCAGTAAACGTCCATCGAAAGGCCGGTAAGACATCAAGCTTTTGATCATTATAGCCTATAGAAGAATTATAAAAGAAATAATAATAATAATCAGTTAACACTATCCTAGAAACGATGAAATGATTCATAGAGCATTTGAATGTATCTGTAATGCTTTATTGGAGGAGGTCTCTTCTCCAGAACAAGTAGAGATAGTATTTGAGCAGCTCCTTGGAGACCTTATTGATTCTGTTATGCCTTTGAAGCAGGATGGCGTTGACCGACTTTATAAAGAAACCACCGCCCTCATGAGAAAGAAAGCAGACAAGAGTAAATTATCGAGTATACAGAGAAGCATTCTAGAGTCAGAACAAACAATAACGGCCAAAAACACAGAAAGTATACAGAAAATGAACGAAATGGGGATACTGGCTGAGGATATATTAAAAAAAGACACAGAGCGATTAGTGAATGCAGAGAGGTTCATGTTGAATTATATCTATGAAGCAGGGAAGGATATTGTTCAAGACAAAATAACGACAGTCATGAATACATTAAAAGAAGAGATTCCCGAGGCAGAAAGAGAACAACCAAACAAAGAGATGACACTACACATTATAGCAGATAGTATGAAAAAGGATCGACTGTTTAATGAGATTCAGAGTACACTTCAGGAAATCGAACATCAATCACAGAAGGCCTCTATTAAAGACACATTATCAGAAAATCACCAAACTAAAGTGAATACTTTACACGCACAAATAGCTGAACAACACACCGGATTGAAAAATATAAAAAAAACTATCGAATCTTTAATCTCCAATAATGAGGGATGGCCAGATATGCCTGCAGATATGAAGACATTGGAGGCTGATTTAACAACTTTATTGAAAGATATATGTATAAGCCAGTTAGACATAGATAGGATAAGCAGTAATCTTCAGACAGAACTCAACATCAATAATGTTTACCCAACTACATTACCTATCAAGCGACCGAGAAGCATTTCAATAGATGAATACGAGGTTGAAAAGAGTTTAAAAAGATCAGGAGCTAAGCAAAAAGAAATAACGGAGTTTCTGAATGAATACTCAAAGACTATATTATCAACTTCTTTTCCACAAAACCTTGAGGATATATTCCGTCAATACAGTTGTATTTTGGAGTAAGTTTTTATTATTTTACTATTCTACAGAATATCTCATACCTTGTAGAAACCATGAAGAAATCCTCGCCTACCTGATAGATCCTTTAAATGCAAGAGAACTATCACCTGGATATGTCTTAGACAGAGCTACGGGGTTACTTAATGAAAGTAAAGTGGCTGAGAACAATATGCCTCATGTATCAGCACCCATGTTAGGTTTCTTGCGAAAGATCGCTGACAAAGCAGTTGAAAACACAAATGATGCATTATGGTCTAAAGTAAGAAAAATAGAGAAGGAAGTGATTGTCATTGATAGGAAAGAAAGGACAAAGAAAAAAAGTACCAATGTTAGAAACACTTAGATCAAGACATTATCTTTAATACATACATACATACATACATATGCACAAACACATATACTACTGCCCACCAACCTACTTGTTTATTTACCAAATGACCCATCACACACACACACACACACACACACTAGCTTTCTTATATGTTTGACTCACCCGAGTCTATAGTTTACGCTTTGTGTTGTATTTTTTATAGCATTCTAAAATCAAATAAATAATCACTAACTACAGTCTCATGTAATAAATGAATAGACGACAAACCAATTTTTATTTTTTATTCCTCAAAAATAAAATAAAAGCCTTTTTCTTTTCTTTTATAACTTATTCAAAAAATGACTCCAATCAATGAAAATCAGCCAACTGTTAGCCAAGAACATAAAGATAGTCCCATTATAAGAAGAGAACATGCTATATTTATTAGAGATCAAATCATAGGACAATGGAAAAGACATGCTACTTATCAAGAGATTACTGACAATATCGACATCCCAAAGAGCACAGTGGGCAAGAGTGTCCTCTTGTATAAAACATAGGCAAAAGTCAACTCAAAATGCATATAGGAAGACCTGAAAAAGTGTCATCTACTTCAAAGCTGGTAATTGTTTTTTCTATTCGTAGAAACCCTATACAGACAATTACATATCATTTGAAAAATATGAATGATGCAGGCGTGGATATTTGCCGTAACATATTTCTAAAATACATGAATGAACTCGGGGGGTTTCATGCTCACCATTAAGACAACCTGCTATGACACTTACAAGCAAAGACAGTTGGGATGATGTAAAAACAAGGTTGATTGGCCAGTGGAGAGGTGGAGTAACGTCTTTTGGTCTGATGAGTCCCGTTTTACATCTATGGGCAATGATAAAGGGACTAGAGTGATCAGGAAGAAAGATAAAAGGTATGAGGAGCGTCATACGCAAAGAACATACAAGTATGGCAAGGGTTCAATCATGGTGTGGGGTTGCTTTTGGTGTGAAGGTATAGGACCTCTTGTACTCTTGGAAGGATCAGTTAATCAAGACAAGTATGTCAATGTACTCACTAAATACTTTCTTCCCTGGCTCTAGAAATTGCAATAGAACCTCAATGAGACCATGTTCTTCCAAGAAAACGG